AACCCCGAATGGGCACTTGGAAGAAGACGTGGGAGGTAGAATTGTGGCAGTTTGTGTGGGTGTGGCATCCACCTCTAGTCTCCTCTGCCGTCCTGAGCCAGTCCGCTTGGGGTGATAACATTCCTCGGGGGCGGGGGGAGTTCATGACAATGGAATTCCTCTTGGACCACCTGTCTTTAGGCAGAGAAGCAAGTTCAGAGAAAGCCTGTCCCTGCATTTGCTGTTTTTCAAGTGCATTCAGCGCAAAGCAGTCAGTATGGCATAGCAATTTATTTTGAGGTGGTGCGTCCTGAGTTCCTGGAGTCATGTTTTGTGGTGGCATATTATGCTGCCTTCCATCACCGATTAATAGAAACTTGCTTTCAAGGTCACAAATAGCTCTATAAGGATGAAAATTAAATTTCACTCCTTAGAACTGAGAAGATGACTATTGTTTTGCCAACATATTTAGTACAGACATTCAGACTCCAGTTCAGACTCGGTGGTTTTAGAAATAATCTCTGCAATATAATTTTAGAACATTTCCATCACCCCAAAAAGAAACTTTGTTTTGAAGTCACTCTCATCCCTAGGCACAGGTGATCTGCTTTCTGTCTACAGAGAAAGATGTTATATAAACAGAATCATACAATACGTAACCTTTTCTGTCTGGCTTCTTTCTCTTAGAATGCTTTCAGGGTTCATCCATGCAATAGCACACATCAGTATTTCCTTTTATTTTAATGCCAAATAATATTTCTTGCCTGAATATAGCACATTTTGTTTATTCATTCACCAATTAATGGATACTTGGTGTTGTTTTCATTTTGGAGATCACGAAAAAATGCTATGAACAGTTACTTGTAAGACTTCACGTTTTCATTTCTCTTAGGTAGATATCTAGAAATGGTCTTGTAGAAACAGGCATCTTCCCAAGGTGGCTGTGTGTTTTAACATTCTCACCAACACTGTATGAGTATTCTAGTTTCTCCACATCCTCAACACTTGTAATCGTCTATCTTTTTATTGTAGACATTATTGTAGGTGTAGCGGTATATATTGTGCTTTTAATTTGCTTTTCCTTAATAACTAATGATGTAAAGGATTCTTTTATGTGCTTATTGGCCTTTCACTATATTTTCTTTGGTGGAAGATCTAGTAATATCTTTTGTCCATTTCTAATTGTATTGTCTTATTGACTTGTAAGATATATATCCTTTGTAGAATAAACAAGTTACAAATAATTTCTCCCAGTCTGTGGCTTGTCTTTTTACTTTCTTATGATGTCTTTAAAGCAGAAATGTTAATACTGAAGTCCAACTTAGCAACTTTTTTCCTTTATCACATTTGTTTTGGATATTAAACCAGATTCATGAAGGTTTACTTTTAAGTTTTCTAAGAGTTTTATCATTTTAACTGTTCCATTTAGGTCTGTAGTCCTTTCTAAAATTAACTTTTGTGTATGTTTTAAGGCAAGGAAAGGGTCTAAATTAATATTTTTAGTCTTCTAAACCATGAATGAATTATCTCCATTTATTTAGATCTTTAATTTCTTTAACAATGTTTTGTAATTTTTAGTATACAAGTCTTACACTTACTAAATTAATTTCTAAGTATGTTTTAATGCTATTTGTGCCTGAAATTATTTTCTTAATTTCATTTTTAGGTTGTTCATTGCTAGTATATAGAAATGTAATTGATTTTTGCCTATATAGATCTTGTCCTGTAATCTTACTGTACTCATTTTTTCTAGTAGTGTGTGTGTGTGTGTGTGCGTATTCTTTAGGATTTCATACATACAAAATCCTTTTGTTGGTGAGTAAAGACAGTCTTACTTCTATTCCTATATGCATGACTTTTATTTATTTTTCCTGCTTAATTGTACTGGCTAGCACCTCTAACACAATGTTGAATAAAAGTGAGAGCTGGAATCCTTACCTCATTCCTGATCTTTGGGGGAAAGAATTCAGTCTTTCACCATTAAGTATGATGTATATATTAGCTGATTTTTTTAAGTTGGCATTTATTAAGTAGAAGTTCACTTCTATCCCTACTAGTGTTCCTATCATGAGTAGCTATTGGATTTTGTCAAACACATTTTCTGCATCTGTTAAGACAATTGTGTGATTCTGTCTTGTTATATTAACATGGCATATTATAGTAATAGATTTTTGAGTGTTAACCCAACCTTGCAATTGTGGGATAAATCCCATTTGCTCACGGTATGTAATCTTTTTAAATGTTGCAGGATTTGGTTTGCTCATTTCTTGTTGAAGATTTTTGCACCTGTGTTCATGAAGAATATTAGTCTGTAGCTTTCTTTGTGATGTCTTTGATTACAGTATCAGGGTGATGCTGGCCTCGTAGAATGAATTGGAAAGTGTTCCTTCATCTTCAATTTTTTTGAAAGGGTATAAGTATTTTTATTAATTCTCTTTTAAACATTTAGTAGAATTCACCAGTAAAACCACCTCTGGTTTAAGAGAATAGTGAGTTTATCTGCCATAGCAGTAAGACTAAGTAGGTCTGGCTAATGCATTATGTTAATCAGCAAAACAAAATGGGAGAAAGTGGGGTTCTAATGGTAAAAGACAACCCTATAAGGTTATAGTGGAAGAAAGGATGTTTGATAAACCTCCAGGACCTTTATATTTATATCATAAAATATACAATGATTGTTCCCGATGAACAATATGCAGTAGGTAACAGGGCTTTTTCCAGGATAATGTCGTATGTATCTAAGGCTGGCTGCCTCTACCTTGTGAAATTTTAAATATAATCAGCTAGGGAAAAACCACACTCACTGTTGTTGCATGACCCTGAGGTCAGCGCCTTCTGAAGTTCTGCAGCCTCGGCAGCACACCTAGCTTAGTCCTGGTATGGCGGCCCTAACTGCTCCCCTTTCAGCACCTCCACCACAGTGGGTAGGCAGCTGGGAGACTCATCTGCTAAGCAGGAGAGGGATCTTCTGTCTCCTCTTCTGCCCCAGTCACGTCCTCTACCTGGGAGTGCAGGGACACCGTCCGCAGGACCCGCCTGGAGCCTCTTCCCTTGGGCCTCCCAGCACCTCCAAGCCCACCCTGCGAGTCCCGGAACCATCTGTTCCTGCTCTGAGAGCTTCGCTCCGCAGTCACGTGCCTACGCTTTGTCCCCACTCTTCTGGCAGGTCTCTGCTGCTCTCGGTCCCTGGCCTCGGCTGCGCTGTCCAGCACCAGAGCCACTAGCCACCAATGGCTATTGAGTACTTGGAATAAATCTGAGGTCATGCCGCTCAAATCTAACTTGCTCTTTGTACTTAGCAGTACATCTTCTGTCCATTCAGTCTATTTTGTTATTCTTAATGGTTACCATGCACTCTCTTATGTTTATGTGATTTAAATAGTTGGTCCCAAAATTTTAATCATTTTATTATTTTGTTCAAAATTTTTGCACTGTAACAAATAATGCTAAAATGAAAAGCTTTGTTCATGTTTGCTTATTTACTTGTGAGTTTCTGTAGGAGGGAGCCCTAAACATTAAAGTAGTAAATCATAGAGGCTACAAACTAAGATTTTGGTAAGTAACTGCCACATTTTCTGTTTAAAAAAAAGTAGATCCTTTTTATTCGATGTTGATGAACAGCACCCTTCCACAGAAGTCTGTCAGGCTGTCTGTGAGATGGATAACAGGGAGTTAATGAAGGTGCTTCAAAGTCATTGTTTTGGTCATCTGCTCTGGAAAGCAGGTTAGAAGGAAGGAGAATGAGATTGCTGAGTTCACACCGGAGACTGTAGGGTTCCTGATGTCTTGGGGACTTGATATTTGGTCAACCTAGTAGCACCAGGAAAGGGGTGCTGGGTGGACAACAGGGTTTATAAATAATACATTGTATGTAATAGGTCAAATTTGGGATAAGAATTCTTAGCAAGCCAGTCAGTGTAGGGAAAGAAGAGAACTAGAGGATGGGATAGTCAGAACACTGAGCTTTAAAGGGAAAGCAGTGACCACTGTCAGATCTGGTAATAAAGTGTGGAGGAGAAGAGCAAAAAAGGGTATCAGAAGCAGTGCAGAAAAGAGTCTGGTAACAGGAAGACAAACGTGAAGCTGAGTAACCTTGTGAAACAAACAAAAAGGCATCAGACGGAGGCCACTAGAGAGCAAGGATTCATGATTTGCAAAGTTACTGAGTAATATCATGGTGACGGGTGACCTAGTTTATTATAATTTTGTCCAAGGGTAAATCAAAGAGACCAATTTTCCTATTTTGGCATTGTGAATCTTTTTGTTCATGTTTCTGAATTACTACTATATATGTTTGTCTTTATAAAAGTCTATATTTTCTTTCATCTTTTAAAATCTTACATAGTTATGTCATACTATACATATTCTTCTGCAGTTTGCTTTCCTGTTATATGAATTTATAAAAAAATCTAGAAAAAAGTACATCTGCATCAATGATAATAGAGGGGATGAATTTAAATAGACTCATGGGATGGATGCAGGTAGTGATGACTTGAGTGGTGGGGGCCAGGGAAGAGGGTCAGAAAGGTAGCTCCAGAGACTGGATTTTGGTGGCCCCTTTGGGGACCCTTAGCACTGAGATGCTAGGGTGGCATGAAGGGGGCTTTTCTCCCTGAGAATCCTTGCAATCATGGATTTATACTTCAGATTTGAATCATCCGTCTTATAGTTTTAAATGCAAATATTCATGGAGGAAGACCAGAAGACGTTCTCATCATGGAAGCGCTCAGACCACTTTCTTGGGTGCCTGTACAAGCCGTTTGCAATAGTCTGTCTCCATTTTCTGTTTGATTGCTGACAGCTTGTAAGGCTTCCCCTCCGCCTCCCCCTCCTGCCTCACATGGAGCAAAGTGATCAGAAAGCGTTGAGTGTTCCTTCCTTTAACAGCAGCAGCAACTTCCTACCGTGCAAGTCCCAGACCTTGCTGGGAATTTCCACCCCAGATCCTCTAGCAACTATAAAATCTCTGAAATGAGCAACGAGAAAACAGGCGCATTAGGGGCTAACACTCTGCAAGGACAATGGAGGACATGATGAATGAAAATAAAAGTGCTCGTTTGTGAGCATGAATTAGAAACAAGTGACATGCAATTTAAAACAAGTGTGTGAAAGGGTTCCTGGATATCAAAGTTTACCAGAAATAATCTGTGAGGAAATCCCCACACCCTCATAACGCAAGGGTGAAGACTGTCAACTGAAATGCTGCAAACTGGAAGATGCGAGCAAGATCCTATGCTATCTCCGCTGATGGTGCACAAGGGTCTGGCTTCTCCAAACTCGGAATGGCTTCCCTCCTCATTCCCTTGGAAAGACGAGGAAAGGGACAAGGACCCCGGAGGAGAGCCCCCTAGCGGCCAATTTCCACACCTGAAAAGACCGTGGAGGTGGGATCCAAAGAGCCGCCATTCAGCTACACTATTTTCTCTCCCCAGGTCTTGGGGCTAAGTAAGAAAACACGTGAGCCTTGTTAAACGTGGGGCTGGAAACGGCAGCCTCAGGGAGGCAGCGCCAGTTCCGGCTCCGTCGGGAGACGCGCACCTTAGGGGGTACTTCCGTGCCCTGGACGCCCCTGCCCCGGGACGGTTTCCTGAGTGTCAAGGGGTGTGTGCGCGACCGTGGAGACCCGAGGGACCCGTCCCTGCGTTCCCGGCACCTCCCCGGCCTCCGTGGGCCTTTTCCACGTCTCTCCTCGCCGCGGCGTTCTGCCCCCCGTCTCTGCGGCCGGAATCCAGCCTCTCGGAGGCCGTCGGGTTGCAGGGCGGCCGGGCCCGCCAGGCTCCGAGGCGGGGCGCCCGCAGAGCCAGGGCTCCGAAGGGCCTTCCGGGCATCGGGGAAGTCCCGAGCGGGGTGTGGGAGGGCCCGCGACCGCCTGGGCTGACCCCGGGCGCCCACGGGGCCCCTGTGGCCGCGGGTGGTGGGCTGGGCTCAGCCCCCAGCGCCCGCGTGGCGCCCCCGCTCCGAGGGGTGTGCGCAACGAGGAGCGCGCTGCGGGCCGGTGCTCGTGCCTGCAGGCCGCCCCCGCCGGCTCCCCCCGCCCCCCGGGGACCCCCAGGCCGTCAGCACAGCGCTGCGCCTCCTCAGCTCTTCCGATGCCCGACGGGCCTGCAAGAGTCCGTTTGCACCGAGAAACGCGGGAGGCCAAGCGAGGCGGGACGAGACCAACGGCTTTTCTCCAGCCCCCAGGCCGCCGGTCGGCCCCGGGAGGTGTCGGCTCGCCCGGGGGCCTGTCTCCAGGGCCTCGGGTCTGAGCCGCCGGCGCAGGAGGGAAAGGCAGCCGTAGCAGAACTAGAAGCTGTGACCCGAAGTTTAAAGCAGGCGCGTGACCGCCACATCCCACTCCCCGGAGGCGCCGGGGCCCGGCCTCCCCAGGCTGCCTGGCGCTCGGGGCCTAGTCGGACTGTGCTGATGCCCCACGACTCTCCCGGAGACGTAGGGGCTCAGCCGGGTCCGCGGGGCTTCCCGGAGGGACGGGAATCCTGCCCTACCGCACGCGTGGGCACAGAGGCCCTGCCCAGCGCCCCAGGCCCCTCCCTTCGGGGACCCGGCGGCCTGGGGGCCCCTCGACCCACGCGGGGATAATGCTCGGCGTCGGCTCCCGGAGCATGGCCGACGGGCTGAGACCTCTCCGGGGGCCGCAAGCACGGTCAGCAGGGATCGGAGGCAGAGCCCCGCCGGCCTGCGCGGGGAAGGGGGTGCTCGGGTCCAGAGCGCTGGGGCCCGGTCCGACGAGGCCGGGAGGAAGGAGCCCCCTCGCTTCCCCGAGGCCCCAGCAGCGACTGCGGGCGGGGCGGAGCACCGGGCAGTAGCAGCCGCAGATGGGGTCGCCCGGGCGCGGCCGCGGGCTCCCCAAATCCCGCGCCCGCCGGGTCAGCCTTGACGTGGGCCGGTAGCGGCTTCTTTGACACCTCCCGCTCCGAGAGAGTCGGCATCTTGCTCTGGCACGGCCGGTGCCACCCGGAGAAGCAGCCCAGGTAGGACCTGAGTTCTGCCAACCGCCCAGGCCGGCTGCCGGGCGCCCGTCGCGCACCTGCTCCCTGCGTCCCGCGTCCCCACCTGCGGCGTCGGCCGCCGGCCCCGCGGAGACTTCTCCCCACCCGCTGCGCGTTCCTCCGAGCTCCCAAAGGTTTTCCAGCGCAACGGGCGGCCCGGGTTTGGGGAACTGAGGACGCAGTCTGCGTCCCCTCCGCCCGAGGAGGCGAGCGCGGCCTTCCCGGGACGGGATTCCGGTCTCAGTGCCCAGGGAGAGGATCCCCTCCGGAGGACAGCGATCCACGCAGGAGAAAAGTGCCTGGGGGAAGAAGTGGCCCAACCAGCGGCTTTGGGTTGTTGTGAGCCACACTAACTGCTGCACGCGTTCAGCCAGGCTAGGGATTTATGGGGGCTTTGCCGCGGGGGATCCCCGTAAAAGAGAGAACAGGGTGCTGTCTTATCCACACCAGGAAACTGAATCTGGGAGAAGTTATCCAACTTGTCTATGGTTCAGGTCACCACAACCCACATAAACAATTCGTTACAAGTGAATTGCTGGGTTAAAGAACGTACATGCTGGGTAAAAAGAAATATTCCTGCATTGCCCACAGCACTGTGATCTCTTGATTGGGTTAAGGCTTTAAATGTTCATTGCTTCGGAAGCTAAATCGCGCTTACCTCAGGGTATGTCCTACATAGCTTAACTCAGTTGTTACGTCTTCATCATGCTTCACAGCATTTTTCATTGTAAGGACTGAAGATTACAAGAAGTGAAGTAATGAGGAACAACGCTTCCCAATGAGAAATTACAAGCCAGTACACTCACGCACTTTATTCTCTGAACCCAGACCTCCTCAGACTGGTTCCTCAGGGCTACGCAGAGAAAATGAAGGCACATGACTTGATGGAGGTCTTGGTAGTATTTTTTTTTCCTTTATAGGGTGCAGAGAGTTGAAATAACGTCCATTTTAATCACACAGCTTGAAAATGTTGGAGTCCAATCGGGAATCCTTGGAGGTAATAGAATGACAAAACTGATTATTCTTGGCAGATTATGCTAGATCCTAAAAAAACGTACAATTCTGTTTTGAAGTTGGCATGAGATCAGCAAATAAAACTCAAGGTTTGACAAATATAGGGAACTTAATATGGGGTCTCTGCATAAAGCTAGGAACCCAAATTACTATCCTTCTAAAATAAAACTAAATCAAAATAAACTGCCATCCAGGTGGGAATGGAAAAGAAACTTGTGTTGGCCTTTCTCAAGTATGTCTGAACCTAATAATTACCACAAACCAGCCTTGTTACTAACTCATGCTGTAGGTAGAGTCTGAAAAATTTCAAGATAATCTGAAGTGGCCTCAGGCTTGATGTATACTCAAGAGAATGGTTTAAGCAAAAATTATCAATTTATAAAAAGATTAAATATCCCCACCTTACACCCAATTTTATAAAGTTAACCCCACATGGTTCAAGGATTTCAATGTTAAGATAGATACTTTAGCATTGTTAGTAGGAAGTATACTGAGTATATTTAGACTCTAGGACAGGGCAGGATTTCTTAATGTAAGAAATGTACTTACTATAAAAACTGATAAATCATATATTAAAATTAAGAATTTTATTCATCAAATGACACTTTAAAGAAAAAGACAATTTAGAAGAAGATATTCACAATGCACACAACTGAAAAAGGATTAGTAAGAGATTGAGGGAGAATACATGACAGGGGGAACTTTCATACATTATATCCTCAAGATTTTTTTTACAATGCATGTATTATATTGATTTTTAAAATTAAACTGAAGAAATAAAAATATCCACGTAAGTTAGATTCAATATCACCTCTCGGAGATTATTGGTAGGTGTTGAAGCCTAGATGATGCACATGAGGGAATTCGGTACATTATCCCCCTTATGTAAACGACTGAAATTTTCCTTTAAACAGATTTATAAAATAAACACAATCTAGCTAATTGTAAGAAGAAAATAGTTTGTACTGCAGGTGCTATCTTTTCTAAAACAGCTATCAGTATTTCTAGAAATGCACTAGAAAAAATTAAAAACACAGGTGGGATAATACACATCAGCTCCAGGACTGATTTCCTGAGGGGGGGAGGGAAGGAACAGTGCTTAGTAATGTCTATGTGAAAGAAAAGAGAAGGGGGGCAGATTCTGGAAGCACCTTTAACATCTTGTTCAAGGGTAGGAGAAGGAGTTGATACATGGTGCTTGTTGCATAACTTTTTGAATGTGAAATTTTCCGTAATTTAAATTTTAAGTAAAATTAAAATTTATTTTTAAGAAACTAGAATGAAATGTACATCAACATTAGTCTCAGAATACTGGAAATAAACGAAATTTGTCTATACTTGATGTTTTCTATAATGCCCAACTCTGACGTTTGCTTTGAGGCACTTGCTTGAACAACTTTCAAGCGGTAACCAACCAGCGCCATAAGGCAGCGGGTTGCAGGGGAGACTCGAGGCGTTTGCCGTCCGCCGACCTACCGAGCTACCCTCCGGAAGGTAAGGAAGCCTCACCCTAGGCATCGACAGTGATTCCGGGCCAGCAAGGTCGCCGGCGCAAACCACAGTTCATCAGCTCTGTGCCGGGTAGCGGCCTCTGGGGCTAAGCGACACCTTACTCGGCAGTGACCACGGACAGGATCGGCAACCCGGCTAACTCAGACAGACCCCGGCTCCAGGTCCCAGAGGAAGTCCTGGCGATCGGCGCCGCGCGGCCATTGGTCGGCTCGGCCGGAAGAGGCGCGGGCGCCGCCGGAAGGGGCGGGGCTCTCCGGACCGTCTGTGGGCACGGGCTTCGCGCCTCTTGGAGCCCCGCGGGGCTGCGCGGTCGAGCTCCGGGGCTGCTGGGGTGGTGTGGTGCGTGGCGCCGGTGCCGCTGAGGCTCAGTGGGGCGAGTGGGTGCCCTCCCGGCTCCTGGACGGGCTGCTGAGGTTACCGCTTCCGCCACCACGGATTCGCACCTGGCCCTGGCGGTTCCCGGCGCAGGAACTGAGACACCCTTGCGGCTTTACCTGGAGGCGTGGCTGGGGACTCGATCATCGCCGAGCAACCCCAGGTGTGCTCGAGCTCCAGCGCCTCGGTCGGGAGAGGCTCGGCAGAGCGACTCTCCAGTCTCCTCTCCAGCAGGTGGGACGCCATACTGCGCGCCTCCCTCCTCTGGCCGCCCAGCCTTCCAGCAGCACTCCTGCCGACCTTTGGCCGGGCCGCCCCTCAGTCTTTCTTGTACTGTTTGGCCTGGGACTGAGCCGTAATTCTGGACATGGAACACAGTTAACTCCCGAAATTTAGGCGAGATTACCATCTTCAGACAGCCCCGTGTGCAGAATCGGGTGAGAGTGTGCTCCTGCGCCTGGCGTCGGGGCGCCGGGAACATCGCGCCGGAGGCGAGGGGCTTTGAAACCCTGCATGTGGAGGGAGCCGCCGGCGAAGCACCTGGCGGTACCTGCCTTCCTTCCAGCCTCTCTTACCTTAGCCCAACTTTTTGCACTTTTCAAACTGCAGTGTGCAGGCAGCTGTCCAGCATCCCTTTGTGAGAGGAGTCCAAGTAGGGCCTGGAAAAGTAGGCGGAGATGTGACCCATGCAAACTCACCACTGCCCGTGCCAAGCTCAGCTTGGTTCCACCGCTATTTCCAGACCGAAGGTTCAGAGCCAAACCCTGAGAAATGATGTTGCCAACACCTCCCCTCACCTCCTCCCCACTGTGACGGAGTAGTTTGGAACAGTGAGCATTTTTCTTTATCCATTTTTCTTTCATCAAAATGAAATAACTAGAGTTCCTGAAGGCCCGTGCACTAGATCCCCAGACTTCCCAGTATCCCGTTGCCTAAGTATTGTCTGGAGCATTTCATTATGAGAACAGCCCTTGTGCTACTAAAGTTCAAGAGAAACAAGTATCCTTAAGTCTGCTTTATTTTTTCCTGTGTCTTGATGGGTAGTAGTTTGGTTATTTTGATGCAAATCTGAATTTGAAGTGCCATTCTGGTAAAGAAATGAATTTCCTTTTTGTCCAATGGCATAAAGATCTTTGCTCACTTAAAATTAAGCATATTTGTATTGGCTCTGTTCATTCATATCTGGATGTGAGGGGTGGGTAAATGGCTGATAGGTAGTGGTTTTATTTATTTATTTTGTTTTCTGTCTACCATTTTGAAACTCTAAGGTTTCTATGATTTTATGGTCAGTCAGGCCCTCAAGCACAGGGGGCAGAGATGCAGGTTAGTGTGCTTTGTTTTTTTTGCACCTTTTGTCCTCAAACTTGAAAGTGTGAATCACCACCTTGAAGACTTGCTAATACACTATTTCCTAGGCCTCTTCTCTAGGCAATCTGATTCACCACATTGGGCCCGTGAATTTGCATTTCTAACAAGCTCACAGATAATGCTAGTGTGTCATTTCTGAGGCTCTCACTTTGAAGCTGGGCGTTTGGCCCCTGAGTAGAACCTCGCATGCGTTTGGTACTTGGAGTGGAGGCTCCCCCTTAGTACCGGGGCAGGCATGCCAACACACAGGCCTGGCCATCAGCATTCTCTTGGTTCACCAGAGAGCAGCTGCTAGGGTCCTGGCTGCTTGGCTGCTGTAAGAAGTATAGTTCCATTGCATAAGTAAACCATAATTTAGTTTCTGTTCTGTTGCTGTACCTTTTGGCTGTTTCCTATTTTGGCCCATAATGAATAGTGATACTATGAAAATTCTTGTACCTGACTTGTGTGTACATATATGCATTTCTATTATATATCTAGGATTGGAATCGCTGGGTTATAAGATGTGCATAAATTGAAAAAATTCAAGGGTGATTGAACCAATTTACATTTTTTCCAGCAATTTATGAGACTTCCAATTGCTCTATATCTTTATCAAGTCAGAATTTTCATTTTAGATGCTTTGGGTACCCATGCTACTGCATGGCAATTTAAAAAAATTTAACTGCTTAGTTGGTTATAATTTATATACTATATAAAACTGTGAGTGTACAATTCAAATTTTCTTTTAGTCAGTTTATGAGTTGTGCCACCGTAACCACAAACCAGTTTTGGAATATTTCCATCACTCCACTCAGAAATTTCCCTTGTGCCTGTTTGCAGTCAGTCATTAATTACTACTGCCTATAGCCCCAGGCAACTATTCTGCTTTCTGTCTCCACAAAGTTGCCTTTTCAGAACATTTAATATAAATAGAGTAACAAGGTGTAGTCTTTTGAATCTGACTTCTTTATCTACTTGGAGTATCTCTGCTTTTTGGTCAGAGGATTCAGTCATTAGAATGTGTAATTATCCAATAAGTCACAATCACAATGTAAGTTGGTCACAGGGGAGGGTAGTACAGCATGGAGAATATAGTCATTGATTCTGTAACATCTTTCTACATTGATAGATAGTAACCACTGTAGAGGGGGTGATGATTTAATAGTATGGGTAAGTGTTGAACCACTGTGTTGTGTATTTGAAACCAACATAAGATAGTATATCAACAAAACTTTAAAAAATTTATTGTAATTATCAATATGATAAGAATGATTGGGTTTATGACTGTCATTTTGCTTTTTGTTTCTTACATCCTTTTTGTTACCCATTATTTTGTGTTAAACACATTTTTATATACCATATTAATGACTGCTTTTAAATGGTTTTTTCTTAGTGGTGCCTTAGGGATTATAAAAATTCTAACTCATTACATTCTACTTCAGATTAATGAAAACTTATTTCTGATAAAATGTAGAAACTTAATTTCTTTACTTGAAATATCTACGAATAAACATAAACAGGAAAAAGCCTGAAATCAATGGCAACATTTGAAGAGAAAGAGGGAAGGACAGGGAAAGGAAAAACAACTGAATAAATGGAGACACTGTGTTCTTAAATAGTTGAATTTTGCATAGATGTGGTCAGTTCTTCCCAGATCTAAAAACTCAGTGCAATTCCAATTATAACTGCAATCACTTTTTAAGGAGGCGATACTGTAGGGTGAGAGTGAAGTCTGATTATAAAGGTGCTTCAGGACTCCGAAAGGCTGTAAATAAGGTTTTTTGTCATGAAGTGTCATGAAAAACCCTGATGAGGTAGATAGTGCAGATGTTTATTAACTAAAGTTGAGGTACTAACTGAAGTATACAGGCACGTATAACTGAGATAGCCTGTCATATGCTTGAGGTTAAGTTCTTGAAGTTTTCCAGAGAATCCAGAAACAACTGAAGTTATTTCTCTCTGTGTACCATTGTGCCTCTGTGTGTATCAAAGAATAAATACAATCTGATACCTTTGGTGAGCCCACCCAAAGCCAGACTGTCCACACTAAACTGTGTGCACTCAGCCAGTTGACCCTGCCTCCCAAGTGTGCAAGCAGGACTTACTCTTCTCAGATGGTCTGTAGTTTGCTCTTTTGCTTAGAAATCTTGCTGTTTGTGTGGGTGTTTCCTCATGGGTAGATCTAGGTTATATATTTTTGGCAAAAAAAATGAGATAAATCTTAGGTCTTTTTAGTATATCACATCAGGAGGCTCATGGTTCATTTTGGATTTTGTCCCACTCTTAGTTTTGAAAAAGGCCTTATTTTGATCAAAGGATGGAGTTGAGAAATTCTTACAAGGGAAATACTGCCAACCTGGTTTAACTAAAGTGGAGCTGCAGGAAGACCTTGCGGCAGGCTGTTGTGTGTACTCCACAGCTAAACTAAAAAGTCTACAGATTCTAGCAATAATGAACTTTTTCTCTGACGCCTGTAGTCAGCCTTCAAAAACCGTCTGGACTGCCTCTACTAGCTCTCATTTTACCTGCAAAAATGTACAAACAAAAGTCACAGACACTCTTAAATGCTTCATTTGGCCTGCTACCGCTGCTCAGTAACTTGAAAAGGAGAAAATCTGAGGTTCTGGTCCTGTGGGTATACTTAAGGGGGTGGGTGGGGATCAGCGTTGAGTCAAGTTCTACTCTAACGTAGCCTCAATTGAAAGTTGGGTCTGCCCTGATATTGAGTCTTACGTGTTTTAAATTCACGCCACATAATTTTTTTGTTTCTCCTATAATAGCCTATTATAAATTCAGCTTTGTCTCTTTATTATAAAATAAATACTTTAAGTCAGAGTGATCATGTATTAGTGGTGACCAAAGTGGCATAATAGGCATATTGCTTCCCTGGACATTAGAGGTAGGTTTCCTTGAATGTTTAAAATGAAAGTTTCATAGCACTAAAATGAAGCTTGTTTTGTTTTGTTTTAAATCCCAGCACCCAGCTGTTAACAGCTGGCCGCCTTCTCTTGCCCTCCAGCGGCCAGGAGCAGAGTGGGAGGGCAAATGAGGTGGGGGTGCTAATCGTCGCCACAATGGGAACGACAACCTGTATGCGTATGGAAGGAACACGCGTGTCTTGACATGACACAGTGTCATACGGGGAATATACTTCAGTTTTTAAAACGTGACAAAGTGGGCTCCCCGACGCTGCAGCCTCCTGCGCCAGCGCTGCTTGCGCCTCTTCCTGAGGGTCGCCGAGCCTGCAGGGCTGCCGTCCTGACTCCGCCTCTAGGGTCTCCACCTCATTCGCGCCGGAGCAGGGAAGCCGCTGCTTGCAGCCACCATGCACGTCTAGGCCGGGGTTGGAACCAGGTCACCACGGGCCTGCGGAGTTTTTCCACTGAGGTCGGACTCGACGGGCAAAGCCAGATGCACGCAGTTAAGGAGGCCAGCTGAGCCCCTGCGGCGCGTTGGGGGTGGGGAGCCTGTGGCCTCTAGCGGCCTGAAGTCCAGGGGGGTCTCACCTGGCCTGAGAGCAGCCCGGAGCGGATAGTGGCTGCTGGGCAGTGCCCTCTCCCCTCCTCCTCCCAACGATGGGCCTCGGACGCTAGGGGAATCCAGTTCATCACTAATTCTTCATTAGGACTTCAGACTAGTGGGAGAAGGGCGACCCACCTGTTCTCTCCTCAGCGTCGGAGGCAGGATGTAGAAGACAGCTGTGGACACAGGCTTCCGTGGTAACCTGGCCTGGCTCTGGCCCTCACACCCAGAATGCCATGGTGACCTAGTAGCTGAGCCCTGGGCAGCACGGGGGGACTCTGGGCCACTGCCTCCTGGATGGCCGCGGGCTGCCGCCTCCTGGTCAGGGGCCTTCTCTGAGCCTGGGAGAAGAGCACTGTGGGAAGGCCGCACCTGTGTCCCCCTGCTGTCCACCAAAGGAGGCGCCCACGGCAGCCTCTGGGGTTGGAGTCCGGAACCTGGGAGCGTGGGTCCATTTGGCCTCCCAGATCCCTTGCAAAGACAGATCCTCCCCCAGATGAGCTAAATGGGAGAGACCACCGCCTGGGCACAGGTGGGAAGCATCAGGACCCCTCCCAAGGAACCCCTCACTGTTCCCAGCCCCATTCTTCGCGCCCAGAGTTCATGGCGTTAGGCAAGTTCATGGTGCTCTGG